AGGCCTGTGCTCAGCAGTGGACATTTAATGGCTGATATGAAAAATGTACTATTTAGAATAGAGAAGCACATTTTTTTATACAACTTGGAATGGCAAACAAGCTGACGGCCTGCTTGATGGAAAGTGGTAACCGTCGCCTATAGACATGAGCAGTACCATGGACATAACAGAGTATACTGTTTCGCCCATGATACCCCCATGCGTTGCCATTCCTGAGGACTCAAATATTATTCCTCTGTACTCTGTAAATTCACTGCCATATCCCACCCTTCAAACCGAAACACAGCCATGCAAACACAACTGCTTCACGGTAGAAACACGAATGGGACAGAGGTGAACAAACGACTTGTGTATAAAGTCTTCTTCTGCACATAGACTACTTTCTATACTAGTAAATCAATATATCTCGGACAAAGTTACGTGTAAAGGCTATATATAGTACAATGAAAACTAATAAAGCAAAATAGTTCAAGAAATAGGTAATGGAAAACGAGTGTGGTTGCAATGGATTTTAAGTCTTGTTGTTGAAGTATCTAGAGCTTTCAGTTCTTTGTAGAATTTGAATAATAGACTAAACGCTTATAACGTGGTATCCCGACACTTTGCTTCTTTTCATTTAAGAGTTTCCTCTTGTCGGTGCAACTAATTCATGCATCTTCTTCCAACCAGCGCTATCCCAGGCCGTATCTTTGACCTCCCTATACGGCATGACACCTAGCGTTTCTTTTATCTGTCCCATGTAGTTATTTCTAGGTCTTACTCTTCCTCTTTTGCCGTCTATTTTTCTTTCTACTATGCTCTTTAAAAAATTGTCATGTGGTATAAGATGGCCCAGCATTTTGCCTCTTCTGTTCTCTGTTGTTTTTATTATTGTTTTTTTCTCGTTCACCCTTTTCAAGACTTCCTCATTTAATACTCATTCCATGGCTATGCTCATATAAATCAGTATTTATTTCATCATCATCATCATCATCATACCAGCCATTATCTGTCCACTACTGAATATAGTAACTACTGGAAAGCCCTCCAATAGTAGAGGGGAAGGGATTATTAGTAACGCGGACTACAGTCCCATTGCTAGCAATATGCCCCATAAGGTCGACCGCCACGTGATCCCCCTGGAAACCACCTTGCTGAATTCCTGGTGTATTCATCACGACGGGCTAACTGACCTACCTTTTCATTCTCACCTATCATCCGTCACTGGTGCCCCGCCAGTTTATACCAATGGGGGTAACCATTCCATTATCATCAATTAAAAAAAAAACTCGAATAGGCCTCTTCCATAAAGGGTATTTTATATATATTCTTTATTGCACTTGTAAGTTACATATAAAATAATGTATTTATAAATGTTGTGAGCAAGGGTGGACTTATCTCTGACAGAGATCTCTTCCAGTCAACCCAGTACAGTGAGAAAGCATTTCATTAGCGGGCAGCTGAAGTGCTACAACTATTAATACATAGACAAATATACAGTTAAATGAAATATTAAAATATATAATAAAATATTACATAAATACATACACTATAAATACATACAATACCTACCTACTTATATAATAAATGTTAAAATAAATAAATATACTACTTGCATTAGAAATTTCGTTTAATGATTTTAAGATTTGACAGTTCAATTAGAAAAATACAAAAAAAATATATATTACTCAAGGGAAAGAAAATGTGATTTCAACCTCTTCTTGAAAGAGGTAGTAGAGGGACTCTCTTGTATGTGGGAAGGTAGTTTTATTTTGTAGTCGCCAATCTTGGCAGGTGGGTTGGCAGTCGCAGTTTCGCTTTTGCTGATGTTTTAAGAGGGACGCTGCTGCTTATCCCTCGAGTTTTAAGTAAGTAGAAATGAAATGAAATGAAATGAAATGAAATGAAATTTATTGCGTATTTAAGTAGGCTTAATAAGACTTGATATATTATTTACCAGCCATAGTTTTAAACAAATTGTCATTATATATTCATTATTTTACTTAGAAATACCGTAATAACTTTAAATAGAGACAGTGGGTCATAGGCATATTTAGGGGGAGGACGGGTGGGTCACGCCCAAAGCAAAATTGACTGGTGTCCAGAGAGCTAGTTTTTTTTATGCAACTTAGAATGGTAAACAAACTGACGGTCCACCTGATGGAAAGTGGTAACTGTCGCCTATAGACACGAGCAGTACCAAGGACATAACAGAGTATACTGTTTCGCTCATGATATCCCCCATGCGTTGCCATTCCTGAGGACTCAGGTGTTATTCCTCTGTACCCAGTAAATTCACTGCCATATCCCACCCTTCAAACCGAAACACAGCCATGCAAACACAACTGCTTCACGGTTGAAACACGAATGGGACAGAGGTACCCAAGCAATCGACTTTTGTACAAAGTCTCCCTCTGGTTTATTATTTATTATTATTTATATATTTATTCACAATTTGTGTTCGTTGTATTTACATTATTTTCACCGGCACCTTTCCTGCACTGGATTACCCAAATTAAATTATTTTCTCTCTAACTACACTGGGTTGGCTGGAAGAGATCTCTTTCAGAAATAAGTCCTCCCTTGCTAACAAGTTGTTAAACTAACCGCTACATGTATTGTTCAAGTGCAATAAAGAATATATACTTGATGTTTCTATCCCATAAAAGAAAAACAACTACAATTGGAACAAAATCAGTTGTGTTGATCTAAAAACTAAATTGCTGAACGGATTTTGATAAAATTTCTATGGGGCCGACCTATAAGTATATCCTTTCAGATAAAAAAAGAATTTTCCAAATCGGTTCACAACTGATCGAGTTATGAGGTAACAAACTCAAAAAAAGAAAACAATCAAACCTCCGTTTTGATGTCGGTCGAAAACAATACAGGTCTTACGTCTCACGGCGGACCACGAGTGGGACAGATGTACCCGCAGGTGACTTTTACACAACCCCCCCCCCTCTGTTATCTGTAATAATGTATTTAAAAATTTTTTGAGCAAACATTAGGAATTATAATCCGTTTACGGACGGCCCCGAGTTCTGGGAAGCTACGTAATTTGTTTTGAACTCCACTGCTACGTGTCTTTCTGTTTTAATGAGCGCATTCTACACAATTTTGTTTTCCTAGAAATTTGTGTGAGATAAAATTTTGGTTTTGAGAGTTTAAGCCGATGGTAAGTGTATTGTATAATACTTTTTTATAATAATGGAGTGTGAAAAATAACAAGAAACACGTAAAATGACAAATACAATCATAATAAAACAAAGATAATCTTTATTCTACCTATAACCCTTTCAGATCCAAGATTTTTCTTCTTTCACATAAAATATATTTTCGTGTTTTGGAGCCAAGCCATCTTGGCATGCACGAGACTACGAGAGGGAGTTTTACCAGAGGGAGACTTTGTACAAATGTCGTTTGCTTGGACACCTCTGTCCCATTCGTGTTTCAACCGTGAAGCAGTTGTGTTTACATGGCTGTGTTTCGGTTTGAAATGTGGGATATGGCGTGAATTTACTGAGTACAGAGGAATAACACCTGAGTCCTCAGGAATGGCAACGCATGGAGGGTATCATGGGCGAAACAGTATACTCTGTTATATCCACGGTACTGCTCATGTCTATAGGCGACGGTTACCACTTTCCATCAGGTAGGCCGTCAGCTTGTTTGCCATTCTAAGTTGTATAAAAAAAAAGACTACTACCTACCACCTAACCGCTAAAATGATTTCTTATTGGCTGGTTTAGAATCTCACTGTCATGTTATTTCGGCTTCGTGCGTAAAAATGAATTGCGCGCGGTTTTAGAATTTTTTAAAGTTACAACTCACGCCCGTATCGTTCAGGTCTGAAAGGGTTATGGACTTTATCTAAAAATAAAAATGTGTAAGAAATTACCAGACTAGACAGACTTTGTACAAATGTCGTTTGCTTGGACACCTCTGTCCCATTCGGGTTTCTACCGTAAATCAGTTGTGTTTATTTTTTATTTTTAATGGATGATAATAAGGATACGCTGGCGGAGCACCAGTGAAGGGTGATAGATGAGAATGAAAACAGGCCAGTTAGCCCATCATGATGAATTCATCAGGAATTAACCATGATAGTTTCCAGGCGGAACCGCGAGGAGGTCGACCTGGTTGGGTATATTGCTAGCAATGGGATTCTCATTCTCCATTACAATCCCTTTCCCCCAAACTAGTAAAAGCTTGAACGCACCGAGCAGAGGTAGCTAGTTTTTAATTGTAATTTAATTGATAAAATGTAGCCTATGCCCCTCTTCATTCCATACAATACGTGTATACCAAATTTCATGAAGATTGGTTGAGAAAAACTTGTTTTGCCACAATTAATTACCTTAAGGTTGTCTTGAAAAGATTGCTCTCAGCAATAAGACCGCCTTACTGTACTTATACAACTGTATCGTTGTGTTTGTAAATTGTCTTGCTTATTTCCTATATTGTATAATGCAAATAAAGCATACTCATTCATACTCATTCATTAAAGTCGGATTTTGAATTAAAGACTCGGTGGAACGACGAGCTATGAGAATTGTCGATGATCCCAAGCTTGCAAGCGGTATCGAACCCTTAGTCTTAGGAGAGATTTTGCCTCAATCTGCGTGTTCTACCGCTTGTACAACGGATTGTGCTCAGAGGAATTATTCAATATGATGCCTACGGCCACTTTCATCGTACTATCATCGTACGGCTCGCCATCGACAGGGAGTTTACCCTCATGTTCTACAGCCTAAATGGTCGCGTACAGCGCGGTTTTAGAGATGTTTTTTCTCCGCCGAGGTTTTCCCAAGAGACTACAGCATGGGGTTCTTCAAAAGGAGGGTAAAGAGGTTTCTTCAGGGTCGGCAACGCGAGCGTAATACCTCTGGTATTGCAGGCGGACATAGGCTACGGTAACCGCTTACTATCAAGTGGGCCGTATGCTTGTTTGCCACCTGAGTGGTATAAAAAAAATCTTGTAAAACACAGTTTGAACAACCAATTACCTGTTGTTCCAGGTCTCAGCGTGGGTGACGGAGTTGGTACTCTCGCAGACGACCTCCGAGGACCGGAAGGCGGCCCTCGCCTGTATCCTGCGCATCGCCCTCACCTGCTGGAACATTGGAAATTTCAACGGCGCTATGGAGATTGTCGCAGGCCTGAAGTGAGTTAAATTTATCATTAGAAATAAATTTCGTCATCATCATCATCATCATCCAGCTGTTACGTCTATTGCTGAACATAGGCCACTTCTATACATTGTTATAAGGTAGACTTTAGACCAGAGGGAGACTTTGTACAAAAGTCGATTGCTTTGGTACCTCTGTCCCATTCGTGTTTCAACCGTGAAGCAGTTGTGTTTGCATGGCTGTGTTTCGGTTTGAAGGGTGGGATATGGCAGTGAATTTACTGGGTACAGAGGAATAACACCTGAGTCCTCCGGAATGGCAACGCATGGGGCGTATCATGGGCGAAACAGTATACTCTGTTATGTCCATGGTACTGCTCATGTCTATAGACGACGGTTACCACTTTCCATCAGGTGGGCCGTCAGCTTGTTTGCCATTCTAGGTTGTATAAAAAAAAATATAAATTTTTTATTTTATTTTTTTGTGGCTATCAGGTCGTTTGCGTTCTGTTTTGTATAAAAAAAAACCTGCTGTTACATAGTTGATGAATATTATTAATTAGGTAATTAGGTCTTCTCTAATTGTATAATTGTTACTTAGTATACATTGACGCTTGTCTGTGAGAGCTGTATACACCTTTAATTGATATGTTCATATGGTCTTAAGCTTGGTAATGAGGAGTGAGATGTTTTTGTTCAAGTAAACTTAGATTTAAGCATTTTTTAATAGTATTTTTTTCACTTTTTACTTACTTATAACATTGTACATTGTCTGCTTAATTGTTGTGAGCATATTGTTGGTGTGTCTTTTATAAATAAATAGGAAAAAGAAGTAAACAAGAAGAAAGAAGAACGTGTGCCTTCGACAGGGGTTTCTTTCGGCCTTCAGCTGTTTTATAGTCTGTAGGCCGGCGGAAACTACTTGCTGAAGGTGCATGCAGTCAACTGAGAAGGACCAAGAAGATAAGAAGAATGGAAAAGTTTCACGCTGGATTTTTTACTTTGGAAGGCAAATCACAAATCACAATTATAATAGATAGATAGATACTCTTTATTGTTTCCTCCAAAAGATTACACTAGTAAACTTATTATAAATATAAATAATTACAAGAAATGATCGCAGTGAGACAACAATGGGCGGCCTTATCGCTAAGAGCGATCTCTTCTAGGCAACCTTTGGATGGAGCAATATATATATTGCTATATATTGTAAAATAGGAATAAGTATTGAGACGACAAGGGACCTTATACGTCTTAAACTTAGTGTAAAGATAGATAGTACAGAGCAATATCTATATGTTGTAGTTACAATATCTATACATATATTGGTCCAATAACAAACATATTATATATCGGTTACTTAATATATATAATGCAATACCGGATCAGGTGGATAAGACGAACAATTACCGAAAACACATTCTGAAGGATGGCACTGAGGACATCTGTCGGGCATGTCGCCATCCCGGAGAGTTTATTTTTTATGGCAAACAAGCTGACTGCCCACCTGATGGAAAGTGGTAACCGTCGCCTATAGACATGAGCAATACCATGGACATAACAGAGTATACTGTTTCGCCCATGATTCCTCCCATGCGTTGCCATTCCTGTGGACCCAGGTGTTATTCCTGTGTACCCAGTAAATTCATGCCATATTCCATCCTTCAAACCGAAACACAGCCATGCAAACACAACTGCTTCACGGTAGAAACACGAATGGGACAGAGGTACCCAAGCAATCGACTTTTGTACAAAGCCTACCTCTGGACAGTCACTCAGACATGTGCTTTCGGGTTGTTCAGCTCTTGCCGACACTGAGTATTTGCACAGACACGACCAGGTAGCCAAAATACTCCATTTAAAAAACTATGCTTGGCTTTAGCCTGCATGGCTGAACATTTTACCCCCATAAAAAAGGTATAATTCCCATAAAATGTATTTGCATTAAATAGGGTAGGCATTAAATATGGCAGTCTTATATTACATAAGTCTCGAGCCATTTACAGGATAGCATGCCCTGTAAATTCATGCCATATCCCATCCTTCAAACCGAAACACAGCCATGCAAACACAACTGCTTCACGGTAGAAACACGAATGGGACAGAGGTACTCAAGCAATCGACTTATGTACAAAGTCTCCCTCTGGTAATATAATGGGGGGCCGGCAGTGGCATTGCACCCGTGCGAAGCCGGGGCCGGTCACTAGTCACTATTAATTCCTTCTTTTTGAATCCTCTTCGTTCTTTAACCTCGAAATTTTTAAAAGCATGAAAAACAGTAAATCGACATAGTGCGGCCAATCATTGAAAGTGGGGGGGGGGGGAGAGATTGTTAGTAATGCGGACTACCAATCCTATTGCTGGTTATATGCCCAAACGGGTCGACTATCACGTGGTCCCCCCTGGAAACCATCGTGCTGAATTCCAGATGTATTCATCACGATGAGCTAACTGACCTACTTTTTCATTCTCATCTATCATCCTTCACTGGTGCCCCATCAGCGTATACCGATAGCGTGGGCGGGGCTACCATTTCATCATTATCACCCATTAAAAAACCCTTCAAATAACCATCGTGGTTAATTTCTGATGAATTTGCCACGATGTGACAACTGATTTAATTCTCACCTATCATCCCTCACTAGTACCCCGCCAGTGTATACCAATAGCACAAGTATGGTCACCATTCCATTTTCATTGCATAATAAAATAAAACCCTTCCTACCTTTACGTGTTTTTTTTTATGGATGATAATGGAATAGTAACTCCACCCGCGTTATCGGTATACACCGGCGGGGCACCAGTGAAGAATGATAGGTGAGGATGAAGCAGGTCAGTTAGCCCATCGTGACGAATTCAACAAGAATTGTTCACGATGGTTTCCAGGGGGAACCACGTGGAGGTCGACGTAATAAGGTATATTGCTAGCAATGAGGCTGTCAAACTCCATTGCTAACAATCCTTTCCCTCCCTTTACTTGTTAGACTCATCCTGTATTTCTCATATTCTTTTGTAATTTTACATATGTTAGGGTGAAATGAAAAATAGAATGCTTATAAATATAGGCACGTTTTACATAGACCAAAGTGCAACTCCGGTAATTATTGTGCTGTATTTTAGAATTTGTGTGAAGGAAAAAAATAGAAAAGAAATAATTTGACTACACTTATTTACAAGCTAATTATATTGTCCATTTTCAAGATTCAAAATTTTCTGCATTTAACTTAGAATGGCAAATAATCAGACAGACCACCTGATGATAGACTTCTTTACAAGCTATTTAAATTGTGCCTTTTTCAAGAATCAAGCTATTTATTTATTTAGAATTTCCTTATCTTAAAATGGAAAATTTTCTTAACTTAGAATGGCAATTAATTAATAGTCTACCTAGTAGTAATTGTCGTCTAAAGACTTGACCAGTACCGAAGATATCGCACAGTATACTGTGTTGCCCAAGATACTCTTCATTACCATTCTCGAAGTCTAAGGTGTTACACTTCCGTACTCTGTAATTTTACTACCATACCATTCTATTATTTTACATTATCTATATTGCACTTCAGACCGAAACACAGCTATGCAAGCGCAACTGCTTCACGGCAGAAACACGAATGGGACAGAGGTGCCCAAGAATATTACTTTTATACAAAGTCTCCCTCTGGTTTTGTTAAATTAAGACAGAAGAATAACTAAGATCAGAAGCTTAACAACAGCGTCCTCTAAACCATCATTAAATGCCACAATGCGATTGAAAAAGCATAAAAAAAAACTAGTTAGTAATAATTTAAATACCCTATCTACTTTATATGCCACTTTGTAATCTCTAATTTTGTTTTTATATCTTCAGATTTAGACTTTCGCGCTGACTGTTTTATAAGAGACGAGAATTACTCGTGACCACGGCCGACGTAATTTGGTCGAAATGTCGAGATAATTCAAGTAAATTATTCCAGTTTACCTAAATGAGCGCCTTAATTCCTGTCTCTTATAAAACAATTATTGTACTGTATAACAAACTTTTTGTGTCGTCAAATTTTAACCTTAACAACCTTAATATAAAGACGAAATTTACAAACAACAATTCACAAGAGCATAGTGTAAAAAAATGCAGTTTATTTAGTGCTTTGGCCAACCGTTTTTTTCTTTGTTATACACGGGTTAATACTTCAATGATGAAAAACTGTAACGCACGTTTACGCGCTCCCGTCCGTTCTGCACCGGCCCTAATTCAGGGCTCGCCAACATTCAGCAGGCCGAAAAATTTATTATGATAATTGACAAAGTGTTGGGCCATTCGGTATTATCATGTTATTCTTTGACAGCGGTCGTCAACAGTTGTGCGTTAGGAAAAATCAGCTTTCGTCCCACGTCGACCCGTTTCATACAATCCGTCATAATTTGTGGCCCCTCGCTGATCCACTGCTCGACGCCTCATACATTATAAGTGTTACATTAATGCCTAGGGTTGTCACTTGTTAGAAAAACATTTTTATTTTTTAGGATTATAAACCCTTACGGTGTTGACATTACTAATTTTTTTTTTTTTATTATTGGATACAAAATTCTTCAAAAAGGGTATATTAAGGTGTCTTCAAGGTCGGCAACGCGTACGTGACACCCCTAGTGTTGCAGGTGTCCATAAGCTACAGTGACCGTTTACCATCAGACGGGCTGTATGCTTATTTTTTATACAACTTAGAATGGCAAATAAGCTGACAGCTCACCTAATGAAAAGTGGTAACCGTCGCCTATAGACATGAGCAGTACCATGAACATAACAGAGTATACTGTTTCGCCCATGATACCCCCCATGCGTTGCTGTTCCTGAGGACTCAGGTGTTATTCATCTGTACCTAGTAAATTCACGCCATATCCCACCCTTCAAAACGAAACACAGCCATGCAAACACAACTGCTTCACGGTAGAAACACGAATGGGACAGAGGTGCTCAAACAAACGAGTTTTGCACAAAATCTCTTTGACTTCTACTTCACTTATATTTTCATAATTATACTTTCACTTCTACATTTGAATAG